AGGCCATGCTAGAAATCCAGTTCAAATGTGCAAGCAGGCAGACACTTCTAGAATGTCCATTAAAATTTCCAGTGTGAAAATATGCCCACATTCAAAGCTTCATGTTATTGGAAAGGTAATATCATGACAGATTCTAGCCCAAAGGCCTCCCTGATTTTCAAAGGCTTTTGTCATGGCTGGAGAATACTTTCAAACAGACAGTTTCCAATAGTTTCTTTTCTTTTCTTTTTTTTCTTTTTTTTAGATGGATAGTTCCACACAAAGCCACACAGGGTCCCACACAGCGTGGATTTGGGGATCTGGGAACCCCCGCTGCCACCCTGCCACTACTCCCACTGCCCTTTGCCCCTGAAGCAGCAACTACTCCTTCCCTCTTTAGATATTTTAAAATGTAGTGTGGTTTGCTGTATGGTTTAAAATTATCACCTGTGGGAGCCAGGAAGGAAGGAACCTTAGCTGCTCTTGGCAGAGTCAGCAGTGAGAGGGGGAAGCTCAGGTCTACCTTCCACTGGTCCTGCAACAGAACTGCACCAGCATTTGTCATATGGACTTCTGAAAGTCACTATGGCTCAATTTGACTTGGGAGATTTGAAGTCTAATGTTTATTCAATCATGAATGCAGGGGCTGGTTCTGAAACACTAATTTTATGCATCTGTTCATTTTATATGAAGTGGTGATTTCTTCTTGCACTTTCTTTGTGCGTGGCCTGAAAGCAGGGATATTTTTTTTGCATGTTTATAGTATGCTTAGAACATGGCTTAATAAATAATAATATAATATAGTAATAGGATGAATGGGATAACAGCTCCCTGCACCATTACAGTATTTTCTTATGGCAAGTGAAAGATTCTCCTTCTTTTTGAGCTTCATGTTAGGGTTTTCTTTTCTTTTAGGTATTTTGGGCTATCAAACAAGGAGCGCTTTTCTCTTGCTTAGAAAAATCAAGAATAGCTTCATTCAAATATAAAATTAATCTTAGGGGGTGCAAAGCCTAAAGAATCCAGCTATCATGATTTCAGCAGTACAGCCACCTGTACATTTCCATTCTATAAGGGAACGAACCTGCAAGGAACTTTAGCCTAATTGTGCAATCCCTGTCCTTTCCCCATCTTGTGCAGTGCTAATTATTTCTTGGTTTTCAAGAAACCACAGTTTGCTATTACATTCAGACCAGCAAACTGTGATTTATTTCAGGCAGGGGTCGTTTCGTAGAAAAAGAGCTAGGGGAACTCATTAGCATAACTCATTAGCATATGCCACACCCCCTGACATCACCAGAAGTGTGTCATAAGGCCACACCCCCCCCCCCCAACAGCCCCGGCCGCCGCCCTTGCAGCTCCACTGCCGAGCCCCATGAGGGGCCCGGCGGTGGACCTGCAAGGCCAGCGGGAGTGCAAGGAAGCCCCGCGAAGGCCCTCCCTGGCCCCAGGCAGGCAGGGGTGGGGAGAGGCAGGGAGGAAGCAACTTACCCTCCCTCTTCTCCTGCCTCCTCCTAGCTGAATGAGGGCCGGAAGCGGGGCGGCCGGAAGCAGGGGGCGGGGCTTCGTCATGTGCCCCGCCCCCGTACCTCACCCGGGGGAACTGCGATCCCCCACGATCCCCCCCGAAATGACCTCTGATTTCAGGTATAATGCAAACTGATGGTTTAGGAAAGTCATCATCCGAACCTGCACCATTATGCTAATTAATGTTAGTTCAAGTGCCTCAAGCCAGTATAGGAAGCTGGTTTATTTACCATTGTTAGTCTTAACTATGATTTCACATTATTTACAAATATGGTATCCTGCCTTAATCTTTGTTTGTCTCCTGCTTACAATAGATGCCCTCTTACCTCCACAGAATCAGCAGGTAAGAACCACTCAGAAATGAAACCACTGTTGCCTTCAGGTGGCTCTTGCTAGAACCCAGACTTTTCCTGCCCTCACTCCCCATATGGCACCCAGAGCATGCTGTATTGAATGCACACAGTCCTCCTCTAACACAGCAATTCCCAATCTTTTGAGTACGGTGACCCACAAGTCCAAATTTACTTGTTATGGTAACCCATCCAGGGTTGGCCCAAAGTTTTTTGGCACACTCGGTAAATTATGACTCTGGCACCCATCTAGTTTAGCATTCCATTTTCTACTGCGGCTAACCAGTTGTTCTTGAGAAACCAACAAACATCACATGAAGGGCACAGTTGCCTCCACTGTGAACCCCAAGCAAAGTGGCATTTTGATATACACAGCTTTGCATATCAAAGTTACATTCCAGCCTTTGACCATCACCTTCTTCTACATTACTACCTCTAATCATCCCTAAGATTCTCACTCACTCTAGTGACCATCAGGACACACTTTGCTTGATCAACATGTATATGCAGTGAAGAAAAAATACCAAATTATGGCCCCGGTCACATGGGCCGGAAAATGTGGGGGGGAAGCGTGGCTGTTTGCCCCGGAGCAAAATAATGTGCAGCCGCCCGATCACAGGTTAGGGCGTGAGGTGCCGATCACACAGCTATCCTGCAGCGCGGCAAAGAAGCGGCGCTGTGCGATCACACCAGCAATTGCCAGGCGCCACTTCCATGGCAAATGGGAATATTTTTTTTCTCACTGAAAGGTGAGCATGTGCATGATCATTTGTGCGCATCCTGTGAAGACTTAAAAAAAAAACCCTAACCGGCTTGGGACGGGACTAAGACGGGACGCGATCAGACGCCCGCCCTTGCCCCACGTTTTTCAGAAACTAGTACATCATAAATACTAGTTTTTTACTCTGTATCTTCAGCACGAAGCCACGGGTTAGCCACGGGTGCACTACACTTCCCAGATGTTGCGGTGTGATTGCGCCCGGAAAATCCACCTATCAGCCGTATCTTTAGCGCGGCAAATGCTCCATGTGAACGGGGCCAATGTATGACATGGAAGATACTGATTCTAGGGTCAGATCTTGGTTTCCAAGATAGAAAAGAGAGCAACAGAAATGGCAGAGGCAACCATTAGGGAGGGCTGGCCTGTGACCCACTTCCAAAGGCTTCACAATCCAATTTGAGGCCCAACCCACAGCTCTAACAGATGCTTAGTACAGCCAGCTCTGATAATCCTGATCCCATTTTAGGAAGGGGTGTGTATGTATGCAAGCATATTGGTATATTTGTACAGAGCCCAGGCTGTGTCCCCACAATCTTTAATGGTATTCAACGTGGTCAGTGCCAATTATCTGTTTGTGGTGTATACGCATGACAATCCTCATGTACACATGTTAATTATACTACTTTTTAGATCACTGGTATAACAATTGTTCATGTCAAACAAACTGAAAAGCAATGTGAGATATAATATTACTTCTCCTAATTAAGAAATCACAAACATGAGATCCATCTATGTAATATCTCAGCTTTATTACAAATAGTAGCCCGCTTTAACTCTCCAAGCCACTACATGAGAAAGGAAAAGACAAGATGACAGCCAAGAGCCGATGCCACTCTAGCGAGAATGAGTACAATGTCTGATCTCAAAAAAAAGGTGATCCTGCGCTTGTAAAGCAGCTAGTGATCCAAGACCATTTGTCAGAAAGAGGATGATAGAAAATCTGTGGAGAATGATGGTTGTGTAATCACCTGGAACTTATTGTTCTTGATGACACACAAGACATCAGTGATGGCTGCAGTGGTGAAGAAGCAAAAGGAAAGAGAAAAGAGACCAAATGCATGTGCCTTTGAAGAAACAAACTATTAAGATAATACACTACAAATGCCTAAGACACTGATAGAGATGTGAGAAGACTATGCAAAAAGAAGGTTGATGCTTGACTAGACATGCACTTTAGGGGTGGCGTACAGAGAAATGTACTTTGGAATAATGAACAGGCTGTCTTGCTGATGATTTAATAGCAGATAGTGGGAAAGATGGAAAAGGGCAAAACTTTAGTTAACTCACTTGAGATGTGTGTCTAAAGCTTCAAAAAGAAGCTTTGATTTGTAGAGGTTCTGCCTCCATCATGTGGATAGTCTGTCACTGGATGGTGTGGATGATTCACTTAACTACTTTCTGTACACACTAGGGTTACCAACATTATTCATTGCAACCTCCCCTGCAGGCTGTTTCCCATCTAAACCAACTTTCACTGTTCTTAGAACTATATGGAAAATGGTGTTTCACGTGATTTCCCACCAGAAATCTCCCATCTAGCTGGGGGTGGGGTGAGAAAAGGGGGAAAGGTGGATACATTTGGGAGAGGCGGTACAAAACTTACAAGACCTATATAAAACTATTTTCTTCCATATACCAACAGAATCTTGTTCAATGACCATCTTTCTGACATTTTAGTAAATATGGCAACAATAATTTACAGTCCCCAGGGCTAAAACTGGCTTTCTTGGCTCAGTGGTGCTTTCTATGTAGGCTGTTGAGGGAATTACTGTTAACTTCACTGTTCTTTTGGTAGTGATAGAAGTGATACACAAATGGTGGTAGAAGGACAGATGCTCATCCCTCCATCAGAAACCTCAAAAAAGTACTGACATCCAACTGCAAAGAAACTCTGCTAAGGGGATTTCTCCCCCTTTAAAAAGGGATGGGAAATTACCCCAACGGCATAAAGTTGTGGTTCATATGTTATTTTAAGTAGATGGATGGAGATGCCTACCCGCTCATCTACCTCTGGAAACTACTGCCACCACTAAAAGATGAACTGGGTGTAGTGGCATCTGTGTACAGAAAAAAATACAGTTACTAGATTCCAATATCTGTACAAAAAAGGTAATTCAGTCACTGCCTATAGACAATTTGTGATAACAGTGTGGCCTCTCATGGCTAGTATCACATTTACTTTTCTTTATTCAGTCATAGTGATGTACTCTGAAGCTCTCTTGCCTTGTTGCCAATCAGTGGCATTTATTTAATTATACAAATATACATTGCCCCTTTTATTCAAGGGCTGAAATACCACCAGTCAGAATGCAGAATTCCACCAAAGGGCCTTTAGTTTACCTTAAACAAATGCCAAAGTTTACCTTAATTCCTTGAAGGGGTCTGCCCTGATAGTGGAAGTTTCTATGGATTTAGGGAACACTGTACCTTCTGCTCCTGAAATAACAAAACAGAACGTAAGTTGTAGATGTTATAACTTGTCAGCAGGGAAATGAATCTCAAATTGCAGGTGGTACAATTTGTAGCTAATCTACCCATACATTAATCCAAACCCAGAACAGCTCTAGTGTATCTTAATAAGTGTTCAGGATAAAGGGGCTAAGGGCTTTCCCCCCAATGTGCTTTGGCCTGTTTTCCATTACAGAAGTAAGTCCTGGCTTGCAAAGTGTCGAACACTCTACAGACATGTAAAGCAGCCCCCCCCCCAAAAAAGAGAGTAACTGTATTGGTACAATATATGCTGCACTTTTGATCACAGACAATATATGGTGTTAGGCTTGAATGCTTTTCCAAATCTCAGAGGGATGGATAACACCAATATCATACCATTATTGCCAAAAGTTTGCTGAATGGATGCACTTCCTGCACTTTCCATGCAACAAGGCCAATACTGTACATCTGTCTATCCACTAAATTTTAATCCCGTCCTTCCTCCAAGGAGTAAACATGGCTGCCCTTTCCCCCATTTTATCCTCACAACAATCCTGGGAGGTAAGTTACATAGAAAGAGAATGACTGTCCCAAGCCACCCACTGAATTTCACAGCTACGTGGGTACTTGAATGATTTCAAACCTCCTAGATCCTCATGCAACACTGTAACCACCACTACACCACATTGGCTCCCAGCACTGTCAAAGGAGGAGGTGTATGCATATTACCACAGGATAGCCTTAACTGTTACAATACTGAATAGTGAAGTGAGATGGAGACAACATGGATCCAATTTGTACTTTTTGTCTTCAGAGCATGGCTATTGGGAGGCTGCTACACTTTGTTATGCTGGGATCTATTTGCAATTGTGTTTTTTTTATATATAAATCCCCGGAGGGATATTTTTTTATTTTGCAAATACTACAAAAACTACAAAGAAATATTAGGGAAGGGACTACAACTAAGGGTAAAGGAAAGCAAACCACACTAAACTAAAACCCCAAGAGGAGGAGATCTTTTCACTGTTAGTAAAAATGTTAGTACAATTAGTTTTAGTATCACAATATACTTGTAGAGTTCTTGCTTATAACAATTCGCTATTTGTATGTTATTTTGTTAGTTGTTATGAGAGAAGTCTCTGATCATCTTCTTATTCTTCGCTTCAAAAGGGCATTTTCCAAGTCCTTCTGCCTTTACTTCAGCTTTCTGTCTCTAAAATCGTATACCACTCTGGCTGGTCCTGCACCCTTTTCTGCCGCAGAGTCCTCTTCCCTTCCAGAGGTAGCAGAGTCACTAGACTTCGTTTCTTCCTCTTTGGACTCTTCGTCTGTCCCCAGCTAACGTCTCAAAAATTCTTTGGCTTTAAAAGTGGAGTCTATCTTCTCTCTTCTATCGTTGATCTTAAAGATGACACCCTCCGGAACCGCCCACCTGTACGATATCCCATTAGTTTGAAGACAAGAAATTAAGTCCTTGTAATTTTTCCTCTTTTGTCTAATTTCAAATGGAATGTCCTTTAAGGTTTTAATGGTTACATTTCCCATTTTCAGTGGAGTTGCTGATGTTGCTTTTAAAATGGCATCTCTGGTTTGTCTTCTTACAAACCTGACCATTATTTCTCCAGATAGGTTATTTTTTTAATGTAATTGGAGTATGCCCTAAAGGCTGACTCCATTTCGTTTACCAGTTCATCCGCTGTTAAACCTATTACTGGAGTGATAATCTCACCAAGCACCCTCTTGCCGATCCATTTCAGGAACCCCCTGAAACCTGAGAATCATGTTAGCTTTTTCCATCTGTAGCTGCAAAACTCGATTCTCTTGGTAATTCTGCTTCGTTTCCACATCTCCCAGCCTTTTCTTCAACTTCTTGCTTGTGGTGTCTATCTCTTTAATTTTCTCGTTTGCCTGCTCCACTTTTTTCTCTGTTTCATTCAGATGAAGCTGCTGTGCTGCAAAGTTTTTATTCATCACAGTCAATTGCTGGTTAATACTATCGAGTTGCTGCATCACTGGCTTGAGCATATCCACCAGGAGTTTGAGGACATCTGCTCCCTCTTCCGGTCTCAGACTCTGACTGCCCGGCTTTGTTTAAAACTTTCTCCGCTGGGCCGCCATCTTTCCTGTTTTGCTTACAATTTCTGCCACTTCCACACAACTTGGAAAACTTGCCAAATGACTTCGCGATTCAAATAAGTCTCTCAAAACACTTTCGGTTTACTTCCTCCCCTCTCCTCCTTTGTGTCTGTTAGCCTCTCATTCGCACACAAGAGGCGTCCCTCTTTGCAATCACTGTTTTCAACCGCGGGAGGGGGGAATCACTTTTCAAACGACTCTGTTTTATTCAGAACTCACGTCCATTGTCGGTCAGTTTCTTTGACCATGCTCAGTTTTATGCCATTCCGCTCGATCTCCAGCGCTTGTACCAGTCAGTCCAGCTTATGCCCAAAGGCCACTCGGCGACTGGACTGTCGGGGCGGAGGGGAGCCTCAATTCTCCAGCATTGCGCCATCGAAGAGGCTACCCCTCTGTATAGAAATATTGATTTCTAAAAGCCCCTGCCTTCCTGGGATGTCTTGCTGATAACCTGCTGTGCCTTGTTTCCTGTTGAAGCCATATGGCCTCAAATTTGGCCGGAGAAACTTTATAGCCCTGCCATATAGCCACACATTCTTCACACTTCCATGCTGGAAGCTAAGCCAGCGTGCAAAAAGTCACATAGCCGATGGGGAGACTGGAGTTTGGGGTCACCTGACTGCAGAGGGAGTCTCCAAACGTCCAGTTGCACCCATGACAACAAAGAATTGGCCACCCCCCTGCCCACTCGCAGTTGGCTGCCTGGCCACAGCTGATTGTGACTGGAATGGGCCTATAACGGGTCATTCCCAATGGGAGAGAGCTCTGTTCTCTCAGTTCTCTCTGCTGCTCTTGTGTTCTTGTTCCTGTTCATGAGCTCTCTGCTCCCTGCTTGTTGGTTTATTGCATCTGGACATGTGGTCTGTGTGAGAACAAAGACCTGCTTGGTAACTGGAGCACATGGTGTGCAAAAATGGGCTTTCCTTTCAAGATCCCATGGAACCCTGGACTGTAGATGTTCCTGACATGGTAAATATGAAGCATTATGTTTAGTTAAGGCAAACTGCCTTAGGCTTGTTATTTTGAAATCTTTATAGTCTAATTGCAATGCTCTGTGTTGAATAAAAACTTATTCTGGTTTTTAAATGGTCTCTGATGTTCCAAGGCTAAACTCCTGTACCTTCTGCTCACCCTAGGAGCTACCTTTATAAGAATTAAGCGTGCATTCGAAGAGGCTACCCCTCAAAAGCCCCCTGGCCTGGAGCCTATCACAAAGGCTCCGCGGGGGTGTCACTTGAGGTGGCACCCCTCCAGGCCCCTGGTGTGCGATTCGCCCTTCCCCGTTGTGGGGAGAGCGTCCGCCATCACTGTTCCATAGACCGTAAGTCTCTATTTGCAATTGTTTAGTACCCTGCTAGCCATATGCTGGCTTCATCAACTATTTGATGAAGCCAGCATATGGATAGCTATAAAAATCAGCTGCACATGATAGCTTGGGGGATACTCTTTGAAGCACACAGAAATGCTATCCGCTCCCACTAGGCTTTTAATCTATGTGGCCTACTACACTGGATTGCACCCTTCTCAATCTTTGAAAAGGCCATAAGCCTGAAAAAGCCTAAAATGTATAAATCTTTCCCCAGACATTGGTTTTATATAATCAAAACTCAAACAAGGGTTGGGACCTGCATGTCTATTTTCACACCAGCTTTTTCAAGTCAAACTACACAATTGTGCCTACTCACCTAACATAAATTTGAACCTCCCTATTCACTACTGGGTTTTTCCCCCCTAGAGGAGGCTGAGGCAAAGGACCACTAGTTGCTTCAGCCTCACCTGCCTACAAAATGCTCACTGAATGGTTCAAACATATCTTCTCAGACTTTTCCAGGTGCCAGAACAGCAGTGGTAAAAGCTGACATTTTACCCTCTTAGAGAGTGAGGGGAAGCGGCTACAGAGCATGATTGTGCTCCCATGGCACAGGAACTTTTGCACTAGACCATGAGCTCTGGTGCAGCTTTGCAATACATTATAAAATTGGGCAAAAATGCTGTCACATTACAGCTGACTCATGATGACAACTCCATAAGGTTTTCAGGACAAGAGATGAACACAGGTGGTTTGCCATTGCCTACTGCTGTATAGCAACCCCAGTCTTCCTTTGTGGTTTCCCATCCAAGTACAGATCAGGGCTGACCTTGCTTCCTAGCTTCCAAGATCTCAGGCTAGCCTAGGCTATCCAGGTCAGGGCCGAAATAAAACTAAGAATAAGATATTCAGTACGGAAATGTATCTGTTTGGTAGTATGCAAGGAAACCAAGAAGAGGTTTCTTCTTCTTCTTCTTCTTCTTCTTCTTCTTCTTCTTCTTCTTCTTCTTCTTCTTCTTCTTCTTCATCATCATCATCATCATTTCACATTTACTAGTCAGAAAGTAAGCCATATCCAATCTGTTAGCAAATCAACACTTCTTATCTCTCCTGGTCTTGATAACATTTCTCCATCTGTCGTAACTACTTGAATACAAAATACTGTTCCTTTGGTAAGGATTGGAAGTATTCTTTTCAACATGCAACTGGTTTTGTGACGCCTTCCTACATTTATACAATGAGCAAAACATAGTAGAGGACAGGTAAGATATATATGTACACCTATTGTACATTTCAGGGCAATAATTATTCTCTTGTTATTTCCATCACAGTTTGATTCAAACCCAAGTCCAGCAAATCTTTCTTTTGACACTGTGTAATTTACCAGCAATAAATGTTCATAAACAGTTTGAGTAGAAAATCCATAAAGCTATTCCAGCTTTATTTTAAGTTCAATTCAATGCCCCTCAAAAATGATTTCATCAATGTGTGTTCCATTAACTGGTTTTCTGCCCAATAACTTAATTCTACACAATCAGTCAGGAATTTATAAAGCATGTGA